ACTGCCCAGGGATTGACTGAGGGCCTGAGAGGGTAGTGGTGTTTACAAGTCAAGGTGGAGCCATTCTGGGCATTAATTTTGAATGGAAAATCCTCAAATTTGTCCTGGATGCCTACTGTTGCTTCATGTGATGGCCATACTTTCTGCCCTTGGAATGAGTAGAAGCCCTGATCTGACGCATCAGACTGAGGACTGGCATGGGAAGGGCTGCTGCTGCAGGAGTGCTGAGAAGCCACCTGTTTTGGGCCATTTGCTCATTCGGTTTCCTCCTTCCTTCCCCTCTGACCTAACTAACATCTCATCCTCCTGTTCTGAGCTCCTCACCTCCCCAGAAAACCTGATAGGCCCAAAGTCTCCTGTTTCACATGCCCCTTGTAGCATGAAGGATACTAGTGGCCATTCAAAACATTAAATCAATGCATTTTTATTTCTCCTCAGATCATGTAGTCCTGTGGTTCCCACCTACTGATTTAATAACACTCAGCGGATAGGACACAAATGCCATTGCTTGGCTTTGAGTTTTGAGACTGACTAGGATTTCTAGTGAGGCAAGAGACTAGCATGCCAGGCTTCATTGTGCTAGGATAGGGAGGTAGAAAATTCACACCTCCCATTTTGTGTGGAGCTTGGAGGTCTGAGGACACAGGGCATGATACGAAGAAGGGGAAATAGGAACATAGGGTGCAGACATGGGCACACTCTGGCAGATCGCCCTGTATGACCCCAGTCCTTCTCCTCTTTCTTCCCCAATTGGGAGAGAACACCAGGCGGGTGGTAGAAACTTGCAGACGGGACTTTTGTTAAGTGTGGTGGAGTAACATTAATTTCCCCAAATTCCACTCAATGAACAGAGAAGTAACATACAAGGACAAAGAGAATAAAAAAGGGAATGACAGCCAAAGAGAGATGTCAGCAAGATTTTGGGAGACAGAAAGTGGCTGAACTTTGCAGAGTGAGGGAAGGTGAGACCTACAAACCTGGGTGGGACAGTGGGGAGCAAGCCATGGGGTCCCAGACCCCAGACCCCAGAGAGGCTCGGAACTGGAGGGAAGCGAGAACACTGGCCCAGGTGGGTTGTGGGCTGGTTAAGTCCCTGAGCCCTTTCCCACCCTACAGGAGACCTGCTGGGGTAGAAGGTGAATAAGTGAGACTGTGGAAGGTGAGGTTCAGCTGCTTTTCCCGCTGGGCTTCTAGAATGTTCCATTTCTCCATATACAGCCTGGAAAATCCTCCTGCCTACGCCGAGAAAACTGATCAACTCGGAGGACAGAGCCATGGATGCTGCCCTCTAGGGCTCCCCTGGGAGGTTGTGGGGCAGGGTCTGATTGTCTCCTTCATGGCACCTCAGTGCCCAGGCCCTGCCCTCTCCTGGGAGGCCTCCAGCCAGTGTTCTAATGTTTTCCCCTTAAATATTCACATTCAGCCAAGAATCGGCTGACTTCAAGGAGAGCCTCCAAACCGTACCTCAGAACAACAGAGACTGAAGCAAACAAAGCAGACAGCAGTAGCAGCACCAGAACTGCTATCTTAGGTGGGGCAGGAGAAGACGTCGCATCCAAATAAGCAGGACACCTGTGAACAGGCATTCAGAGGACAAGAAAGAGATCAGAAAAACGAAATGTCAGGGAGAGCAAAAACATCCAGTTGAAGGGTTGAACGTGAATGCTCTCCCTTTTGTGGCTGTCCCCAGTGCCCGTGACCCTGTTTTGCTGCTGCTGTGTGTGTGGTGAATGGGGTGCTGTCAGTCGCTGGAGGAAGCAGAGGTTTCCCCCACTCCTCAGCAGGCTCAGCAGCTGCCCCATCCTCATGGGCATTTGGAAAGAGGGGATATTTATGTTTTCCACGTGCCACAATGGAGGTAGATAAGGGAATGGGAGTGAGTGTTGGGTCCATCAACCAGTCCTGTTGCACAGGCCTAGAGTGCCTTTTCTTGGCCATTCTCCTCCTTTTATCATCATTGACCTGGGCTGTGCTCAGTGCCCTAGGGCAGTTAATCCTGTGTTGAGCAGCATCCTCTATGAGCATTTGAGTGAAGTTCTGTGAGAGTCTCTTTAGGATGTATACCCAGGAGCTGAATTCCTTAATTTGCTGAATGCCAGCGTATTGCTTTCCCAGATGGCTGAAACCAGTTCCTTCTCCTTTTGATAGGGAGGAGGATTCCTGCTTCTTCACATCTTAGCCAACACTTGGTATTATACGCCTTTCTAGTTTTTTTGTGTGAGATTCTATTGGGTGTAAAGTGGCACCTCACTCTAAAAGTTATTCTTTATCATATTACTAGTAACTGTGATTATTTCTTCATATACTTGTTACCATTTGGGCTTCCTTTTCAGCAGGTGCCTGTTCATCACCTGACTTTTTATTATTCATTTATAGGAATTACTAATATAGTCCAGATAGTCCAGATTTTATTCTTTTGTAAGTTTTAGATAAGGCTATCATCTGTTAATTTACAAATGATGCTTTTCACTCAACCATACTCCTTAATTTTTTTTTTTTTTTGAGGCAAGATCTCACTCTGTTGCCCAGACTGGAGTGCAGTGGTGCAGTGCAGGCTGCTCACTGCAGCCTCACCCACCCTGGGCTCAAGTGATCCTCCTGCCTCAGCCTCCCAAGTAGCTGGGACTATAGGCACATGCCACCATGCCTAATTTTTGTATTTTTTTGTAGAGATGGGGTTTCACCATGTTGCCTAGGCTGGTCTTAAGCTCAAGCAAAACACTCACCCCGTATAGTATTACAGGTGTGAGCCACCATGCCTGGCCCATAGTCCTTAATTTGAATGTTGTCAGATTTATCTTTCACCTTATGGTGTGTGCCTTGATCATTTTATTTAAGAAGACTTTCTTTATTGTATTGTTTTATTTAAGAAGACTTTATCCCTAGTCACAGAGACACACTCTTCTTATGGTTTTGTTAGCCAAAAAGTGACTGACTGAGGCAGGTGTCTCAATTGATAGAGGTTTATTTAGCCAAAGTTTAAGGATATGCCCAAGAAAAACACAGGTCACAGGAGCATCTGTGCCCTTTGCTTTCCAAAGAGAGTTTGGGAGTATTTCAAATGGAAAGAGCAAGCAGGAGGAGAAAAGGGAGGGAGGGTAGAAGTGAGGCAAATGGTTATTTCTTGTGAAGCTCCCATTAGTGCTCAGTAAATCCACATTTCACACATGAAAGGAGGAAGTAGAGGAAAAAGTGAATTATGCCTTCCTCTCAGGGTAGGTAGAGCGATGATTTCTGGACTTTCTCTGTACCTGTGAAGATAAACTGGTAACTGACATTGTCAGGGTGAGACTCAACAGAATTCAGCTTTAGGGCTAATTTACAGGGCAGGTGCATGTATCCCAAAAGACTGAGGGGTTCACGAGGAATTTACTTGTGAGCAATTTGTGAGGGAGGCCATCTAGGGAGATATGTGGCCTTCCATCCTGGTGGGAACATGGCTTATGGATGAGGCTATGACACAGGGTTGTGAAATGACAGTGATCTGTTTGGGAACAAAAGGAAGGCTGTATCGTGTGACTCAGATCTCAAGCTTAACTCTGCTTTTGGCATAGTGAGTTTGGGGTCCAGAGATTTGATTTTCTTTCTCAGTTTTATAATTATACCTCTCCATTTTCAGTCTTGAATTCATATGACATCCACCTCTGTAAGTGGTGTCATGTATAGAGTCAGGCTTTGCTTGTCTCAGGATTTCCCCAATGCCACCTCTGGAGCTCTCCTCTCTCCTCTGTTCTCCTCTCTCCTCTCTCCTCTGTTCTCCTCTCTCCTCTCTCCTCTCTCCTCTGCTCTCCTCTCTCCTCTCTCCTCTGCTGTCCTCTCTCCTCTCTCCTCTGCTCTCCTCTCTCCTCTCTCCTCTGCTCTCCTCTCTCCTCTCTCCTCTGCTCTCCTCTCTCCTCTCTCCTCTGCTCTCCTCTCCTCTCTCCTCTCTCCTCTGCTCTCCTCTCTCCTCTCTCCTCTGCTCTCCTCTCTCCTCTCTCCTCTGCTCTCCTCTCTCCTCTCTCCTCTGCTCTCCTCTCTCCTCTCTCCTCTGCTCTCCTCTCTCCTCTCTCTGTCTTACTCCAAGCTCCACCTGGGTCTTCTGCTTGTGTGTTCTGAAACCCAGGGAAGCTGCTGTCACTAAAGGGTTGAAGCGGTTCAGTGCCTGGGGGAGTTAGTCCTCCATGCTCTTCCTTTTCAAAAGTGTGGTGAGCTCTCTGCAGATCTTTCCTGCCCCATATGAACTACAGAAAAAGATTGTTCAGATTCTTCTCAAATCCCTGCTGGCATTTTGCGAAGGTTGATATGAATTTGTGGTTTATACACTTGCAGGGTTACATGTGCTTGTGAGATGGTTGACGGGGTCTTATCTTCTGTAGTGGACTAAGCCCAGGAGGGCAGGGGATGTGTCTGCTTCCTACATTCTTGGCTCCCCAGGATTCACGCAGCATGTGGGTTGCAGAAGTAGCTCAACAACGGTTTGTTGCTGAAAGCTGCTGAATTGAGTGTGGAATGATGATGTCTGTGACGGTACTCAGCAAACCAGGAGGTGCCTCAGAGAGCGGTCCACACCACCTGCTCCAGCACCAACTTGGGTTGACTTCTGTTTCTCTGGCTTCCTGGGAGGTGGGGGCTGGGCTCCCTCATCCACATCAGGAACCTTTGGGAAGGTGAACATGGTGATGCCAGCACGCAGGGAACACTGTGTGTGTCACTCCCAGTGCTATTGCTGAAGCCTGCCTGGGAGTAGGGGATGCTAATTCCACTTAGAAAACCACCTCCTTGACGGCTGATGCACATCAGCTGGCAGGGCCACCCCAGGCGCACTCCACGTGCTTTGCCATCTGTGTTAGCTCAGGCTGTCTTCTCTGTGTGTCTTCACATGGGCGGGGAGAGAAGAGGGAGAGAGAGAAAGAAGGGGAGGGAGGAGAGAGAGAAAGAAGGGGAGGGAGAGAGAGAGAGAAAGAAGGGGAGGGAGGGAGAGAGAGAAAGAAGGGAGAGAGAGAGAGAAAGAAGGAGGGGGGAGAGAGAGAGATAGAGAGAGAACGATCTCCCTCTTTTTCTTCTGATAAGGGCGCTTATTCTATGAGATTAGCACCCCGCCCTTATGACCTCATAATTTAACCTTACTTAGCTCCTGAAAGCTCTGTCTCCAATACAGTCACACTGGGGGTTAGGGCTTCAATGCCAGAATTTTGGGGGACACCCTTCAGCCCACAACACCATCCTACAGCACAGGACATGGGAATGGAAGTGCGTCCCTGTCAGTTTTGCCAAGGGAGGTGAGGGACTGGATACACAGCGGAGGGTCAGAGCCAGTGATGCTCCTCGCTCTCTCACACTCATGGAGAGCCTGATGGGCTCCTCCTGGTGTTTGAGGATGCTGTGCTCAGGGAGGGCCTGGGGAGCATCCTCACTTGCTTCAGGCACTGCCTGGCCAGAAGAGAGCAAGGCAGTGCCTGTCCCACACCCCCCACTTGCATTCCTTACTTGCTGCAGCCTGGAGAAGCTGGCAGTTCGGGGAAGGAAGAAGGAAGCCGAGTACCAGCCTTCCCGCTGCAGGTGGTCCCCACACAGCGCCACTCAGGGCATGTTTTGGTTATTTTGATGGACCGGCCATTTTCACGACTGTGGACTGTTTAGGACCAGTATGACTCTTGTTATCTGAGAGTGACCGGAAAAGTGAGGGCCTACCTCAGTGGGCCTCTGAGGGTGAGGCAGGGATCCCACTGGAGGGGATGCAGGGCAGTGGGGCAGAGAGAGGTTGAGTTTCCATCGTGCCCACACACCCACCACACCAAATGACTGTATCCTCGGCTCCTTGGTGGGAAGTGCTTGGTGCCAGGGAGCTGTGCGCTGAGGGCTCTTTCCTGGCGGCTTTAAAAGGGTCTGAGCCATAGAGTTCCCGGGAGCCAAAAAGTCTGGTCATTCCATCGTGTGTGGGCACGATGGAAACTCAGCTTCTCTCTGCCCCTCCAGCATCTGGCCAGCATCTCACAGCCCTCGGAGGGCTCAGCACACTCCTTCGCACCTAGCTGGTCATGAGCGACACCTGGGAGCCTCTAAGCTATGCCAGCAAGCGCTACCAGGCTCAGAGAGGGGATCTGGGCTCACACCCGAACCCCAGGAAGGAGTGTTCAAGTGCCTCTCAGTGAGGGTTCCCTGTGGAGGGAGCAAAGGAGGAGCTGTTGGCATTCTAGAAAACCACAGCAGAAATGGGCACACCCTCCTCTCATTGCAGAGGTGGGGAGGCTAAGGCCCAGAGAGCAATGTATTTAGGTTGGTGCAAAAGTAATTGCCGTTTTGATATTACTTTCAAGGGCAAAAACTGCAAGTACGTTTGCACCAACATAATAGCTTTTTCCCAAGTCTCTTGGTGAGCTGGTGGCAGAGTTGGGACCAAAACTCCTACCCTCTGGGGCCAGCTCACCTTGAGCCCACTGCCCTGATGGGGCCTGGCCGGCTCTCACTGGACATTCTCCTTGTGCCCAGCAGGGGAGCAGCACCCATCTGCGCTGGGGGACTGTCTGGTCGGTTGGTTCGCTGGGCCCCCTCCCATGGCCAGTCCTTCTTGTCCAGCTGCACTGAGATGCAGGGTTGCCCTGCTTCTGCCTCTTGCCTCCAGTTGGGAGATTGTGCTGCTGGGGAGAGCTGGACTGAGCCAAAGGAACTGGTTCAGTTTCTGGGTGAGGTTAAGGGTAGGCTAAGATATGCACCAAAAATTGAGGAATTTGGTCTCTAGGAAAGACTAAACAAAGAACGCATAGTTGAAAGGAACAAGAAAAAAGGTGGGGGGCTAGACAAATTCCGGAAAGAGTTTTTATGTCCTTGTATATAGGTCTAGCTATGGGAGGGGAAGTTGGGTGATATTCTCTCATCGGCGTGGGGTCCCTTGGAAGGTGGTTTTGCGCCCTGTCCCCACCCCCATGGTATCCCTGATACCTAGAATGGGAACTTCTCCTCACACCCATAACTGCATCAATACCACTTCTTACAAAATAGGCTTGCTTGACATAGATATAATGTAAGAACCATAGTTTATTGCAAACCTTGAAACAAGGATTTTGAGAGTCCTCCACGCCAGAGCATTTTCTGTAAGCCCCCTTTGGGGGAAGGGAGGTAACTTTAATTAATGAGGGCCCAGAAGTTATAAAGCCTTGTGAGGTCAAGGAATCTCTGAGGAAATGATAGTTGTGTTGGATTTTTTGCTTTTTAGAAAAGCAAAAATAGAGAAGAGAAGACAACTCCATGTTGTCTATACTGGTGATTAATAAACATGGCATATTTATCAATCACTATAGTATCTTATATCTAGCTTGGCAAGACTGTTTCGACATTTCTGACTATAAACCTTTGTTTTTCAAATGCTCCTTAATCCTCTTCCTTGTCTTTATGTTGGTTCTCTTATTAATGAGTTACAGCAAAATTTGACATGTGCTCGTAGATGCACTTGGATAAGAATTATTCTTTGCACTAACTTGAGAATTGTGCATTTAGTGTGAGGAATGGTTCCTTGTGTAAATATGCATGTGGTGTCTGTCTTCCTTCTTCTTCTTCTTCTTTTTTTTTTTTTATTGAGACAGGGCCTAACTCTGTTGCCCAGGCTGGAGTGCAGCGGTGGGGTCATAGTTCATTGCACCCTTGAACTCCCGGACTCAAACAAGCCTACCTCCTCAGCCTCCTGAGTAACTGAGACTACAGGCATGCACCACCAATTCCAGCTTTTATATATATATATATATATATATTTTTTTTTTTTTGTAGGGACAGTGTCTCGCTATGTTACCCAGGCTGGTCTTGAACTTCTTGGCTTAAGTGATCCTCCCGCCTCAGCCTCCCAAAATTCTGGGATTATAGGTGTGAGCCACTGCCCTCTGCCTGTCTTCCCTTCTCAACATCCACAGGGTGAGCCTTGTCTTGGCGTGGATTCAGGCATCAGTGCTGCTTCTATGCAATCCTGCTGTTTCACTTTGATCCAGCTCACACTTCTGGGGGCCTGTATTAGTGTTCTGTTACTGTCATAACCAATTACTGCACACATGGTGGCTTAAAACAAACCAGATTTATTATGTGACCCACAGGAACTGTGGGTCAGAAGCCTGGCACAGAGTGGCTCAGGGGCTCCTCTGCTCCGAGTCTCACCAGTCTCAAGTAGGGGTGAAGGCTGGGCTGTGTTCCTCCCTGGAGGCTCTCAAATGAATCTGCCTCTAGACCTACTCAGGTTCCTGGCATGATGCAGCTCCTTGTGGGCGCCTGCCCGAGGCCGGTGTTCTCTGAGCCACAGAGGAGCTGCTCTTTGTCCTGGAGGCCGGTCTCTAGCCCCTGTGTGTGGCCCTATGCCTCAGAACTAGCCAGGTTATCTCAAACTCTCTCTATGCTTGGTGTCTCTCCTGCTTCTCTCTTCTCTTTTTTTTCTGCTTCCTATTGGGTCCACCTGGCTAATCCAGGATTATCTTTCTATTTTAATGTCAGCAGATTAGTGGCTTAATTATACTCGCAAGGCCCCTAGCAGTGCCTAGATTTGTGTTTGAATCACCAGGGCTGGGGACCTTGGAGTGCTTCTTTAGATGTCCTGCATGGAGACATTGGCAGCATGTGGTGCCCCCAGCTTCTTGCTGTCTGTGTGGGGGTGTGGGAAGTGAGAGGGAGGGAGGAATCGTTGTAGCTTCTCCTCCATCTGCCTCCTGTGCCTGAGGTCCTGTCTCTGCAGAAGGGCTTCTCCCTCTGGATCCAGCAGCCACCCTACCCTCTGCCCCAGCAGTCGCTCCCTGGAGCTTCCCTACACCTTGTCCACACGTTGGCCTTTGTGGAGCCTCCTCCCGCTGCCCCCAGTTGTGCGTGCCTCTACTCTGCCTGCACCGTGGCCAGGACACGTTTGCGTCAGGCTGCTTTTGTCGTGAGGATCCATCTCCTGTCTTATGGGGCTTCTAGCCGCTCCTCCTGAAGCTTCCCAGCCCCCTCTTCCCCAGCCCCACCAGCCACCACCATCTGCAGACCTCCACGGGTCAGTTCCTGGCACACTTGCTTGCCCATCCAGCTGTGTTCAGTCAGCAGGTCACTTGGATTCACCATCGGGTTTGCAGACGCTCTCTCTCTGTTTCTTGTTTTTCCTCATCACCAACTGAGTGGGGGTTACCCAGAGCTCAGACGTCAGAGAACAAGAAATAACTGGGTTCCTGGTATTTTTTCCTCTCTCTGTTTCTAGGAACTTGTAATTTCTTTGAAAATTTACCAGATCGTTAAAGGTCATTCAAGGACTATTCAAGGACTTAAAGCCAACTAAGGGGACTGGAAACGATATTGAAGCTGACCTGGAAGGCCACATGCTGGCTGCTGATACCACAACTCTGTCAGAGAAGTGGCTGTGGGTCCCCAGCACAGTGTGACACCGATAACGACCGATAAAAACAAAATAAAGACATTAGTGATTATAATTTCAGTCCGGTTGAACACATGATCACATTCTTGTAGCCCTAAACATTTCCAAAATGCTAGTGACTCATAAAATCAGAATAAGAAATTTAAGCAGTTCAAATTAATTACATTTATTAAGAGAAAACAAACACAAGCTTGCTTTGTATTATATTCTAGTAATACACTGTGATACACTAAAGGATAAGATAAATAATTTTTTATATCAAAATTATCAAACTGCATGAATTGTTATGTGACATGTGAAACAAATTGTTATTATTTTGGGAATCCTTGTATAAGGGAGAACCCATGTTTTTGGAATGACATTAACATTCTTTAAATCTTGTTTAAAGGTCTTGGTATCTTAGGCATCTTAGATCCCTTTCCTTTGAACTCCTAACTGCATGAAATTGCATTTCCTGGCTTCTTATCCTGTAGCTTAGCAACGACATCTAAATTCACGGTTGGTTGGTGGTGGGTCCAATTCAGTTTTCCCCTGCCTGAAATGGAGTCCTTCCCATCGACAGCACTGAGAATTCTTCTCAAAGAGTCAGCATATTTAAATTTAAAGCTTTAGGAAGCCTTTTTTTTTTCCTTTTTAAAGTTATTATATAAGTACCTACTAGGATCTATTAACCAATAAAAATAGATATTCCTTTAAAGTCGAGAGGCTTATTGATCTCTGTGGGCAGTGGACTCGTCTTTTGAATAGAATCTTTTGGCCAGTCCCTGTGCCTGGCTAATGGCTACGGGCACAGATTCATAATTTCCAACCCACCACTGTCTCTCTGGAAAGCAAACGATTTCTCACTTCTAGAAACACAGACCTGCAAAAGAAACCAGGACACAGATACTTCCACAAACAGCCCCTGCCATGGAAAACCACTGAGAAGGGCCCTGCAGGGAAACAGACTCCAGGGTTGGCAATGGATGTGTAGTTTATTTTTCAGTGGGGAGCACTGATCATTCTTGCAGGAGTGAATGGGTCCAGGCCCACCTCCCACCAGCTTTTGAGATTCCTTTACAAACCCAGTGACCAGCTCCCTTGGGCCAGGAAGCCCCGTCCCTGTCTCTGGGGTCTGTCACCCTGCCAAAGACCAGGGGTGCCTTCTACTGTGGAATCTCTAGTGGTTACAAACAAAATTCTCTTTGGAATACCTGGTAAGTAGTTGTCAAAATTTTATTTAATTCATCAACAAACAATAGGCCGGGTGTGGTGGCTCGTGTCTGAAAAACCACCAACAGCAGACTGTGCCTCTGAATGTTGCAGGAAAAATTATGAAATGATGGCAAATAAGATACATCTTCCGAGTGTGTTTCTGACAATAAAACTACAACACCTTTGCAAGGACTTCCCTTTCAGGCCATAAAACAGCTGCCACGTCCCTTTCCGCAACCTGACCACTCAGCTGCCATTCCCTTATCCATTGGCCTCCTTGTTTCCGTACTGAGCACTCACATCCCAGACCGAGTGCCTCATCCTGGCTGCTGCACTGCGGGTCGCTCCAGTTCAGCTCAGGGGAGGTGGCACCGGTACTTACAGTTGCTCTGGTCACAGACCTTGAAGTCATAATGCCTCTCTTTCAAAAACCACATTTTCCAGTTAAGGCAACTGATTCTACCTTCAAAACATATCCAGAGTCCAGCCACAACTGACCACCTCCATGGCCACCTCCTGGTCCACGCTGCCTTCCCCTTTCCTGGGCTTCTTCCAGGTCGTCCTTCAGCAGATGCCCAACTCATTAAGAATAAAAGCCACCGTCTGGCCCTGTGTTTTCTCCCTGACCTCATCTGCCCTCCCAGGCTCCCTTCATCCCAGCCGCATCAGACTTCTTGTTGTTCCCTGAGCGGGCAGGGCCTGCCCCAACCCAAGGCCTTTGCACAGGTTCTTCCCTCTGTCTCTAATAATCGGGCGTGGAGTGTGATAGAATGGTGTTACTCTGGTTCAGAGTGCTAAAATGGGGTTGAGAAGCCATTCTTAGAAGGACTACCTGCACAGCTGCAACCCTGCCAAACAGGAGCTTGCTTGAATCTTTGCATCGGGCCTCACGGCCACAACCATAACATCCTGGAGAACAACTGAATCTGCCAGTGCTGCGACTCCTGAACAGCGACAACCAATGCTCTGCGGACTCATGTACTATGCCAGCCGCCTGCACCAATGACAGTCCTTTCAAAACAACATGTGTAATCGTCCTCCGCGTCCTTTTAAAAATCCCTCTCCCCTTCCTCTCCTGAGAACACAGTTTGGTTTCTAGCTGAATCTGTGTCTCCCTGAATGCCAGTTCCTAAGACCCCAAAACACGCCTTGTCTTACTGCTTTGCAGTCTGGTCCTTTGCTGCTTCTTGGTTGACAGGTGGCTTTCTCCCTCAACAATTCAGGTCTTTGCTTGATTTCACATTATTGAAGCCTTCCCTGAGTGTCCCATTTATTATAACACCTGCCCCTACTCCCAGACTCTATCCTCCAATCTCGTTGTTTTCTCTCTGGAGCACTTAACAGCACCTAATATGCTGTATGTCTTTACTTATGTATTTTGCTTACAGACATTTTCATGTCCATTAGAAAGCCATTTCTAGGGGGAGCAGAGAACTTTCATGTCTCTGTTATCTAGGTTAACCCTAGTGCCTGAGACAGGGCCTAGCTCTTAGTAGGTGCTTATTGAAATTTGCTGAATGACTGAATGATCCCTGTGCTACGGTGTAGCCTTGTACATTTCCTGCAAGGAACAGAGACCTGTGCAATGGGAGTGTTGGCAGGGAGCCTGTTTCCTGAAGAAGCTGAGGTATCTCAACTGGCCCTGAAGATTGGGGTGTTACTTGATTTGCTGAGAAGCCAAAAATGCCCAAATAGCAAATATGTCTGATCAAAATGGATTGCATTCATCCTGCTCCAGTGAGTCCCCTTATCCCCCAGAAATCCCCTGCCTGCTTCCCCTGTTAGAAAAGCAGGAGCCCGGGAGAGCCAGGGTAATGCCATTTTAAGTTCAGCTCCATCTTGAGACTAATGAGGTACATTCCTTGCCAGTCACGACCCATGGTCATAAGATGTGCAAAGCCAAGGAAACAGCCTGCCAATACCTGCAAGAACACACTTCTACGACAACAGAACATCCAGATGTTCCAATATCCATAGCAATGTATGCTTTGAGATAATTATAGTTATGCTTTGATGTATTTAGGCACTAAATGCCAAGGACAGTTTTCTTTAAATTAGCCACAAAGGGGTCTCCTCCTATGGTGCTGGTCAGGCCAGGGTATCAGTGGTCAGTGGTCAAGTGGCACCTGGGGGCTCAGGGTGGAGTGTGAGTTGTGGGCAGGGGCGGGGAAGGCAGCTGGCACATCTGGGCCCCTGATTCATAGCTTAGCAACCCCAGGGACCAAGCAGGGCAGGGCGGGCCTCAGGTCTTCTGGGAGACTCAGATGAGTGCCCTTTTCCTCTGAGCAGACAGTCTGGGTCCAGTTGGCCTTTGTTGTACTGTTGGAGATGGAAGGCTCTGGAGGCACCCCCTCTTTATCCATGCATGCTCCCTGGACTTCAGATGGGCCTCTCGTGGGGACCCCACCACCTGACTGACATGCTGTCCTCTCCCATGGGGGCCTCACGGCAGGTTTGGGCTCCAGTTTTGCATCAAACGAAGGCCCATGAAGGCCCGGGACCTGCCCTGCTGTCCTGTCCTAAAGTGCCGGAGTGGAAGCATGGGCGAGGCATTCAAACCACTCTGTCACTTGCATGACTTGGGGCCCACTTTGCAATGTAGGTTCTCCGAGACTCACATTCCCCATCTGTCAGGTGGAGAGAAAGGAGTCCAGTGGGGAGCCGGCTCTCCACCGCCCCCAGGCCTGGCTCATAGCCTGCTGTGCCTGCCAGCTCGGCCCTGGCTCTGGGTTGATCCCTCAAACCAGAGAGTGTTCAGAGCTGGTGTGGCCTTCTGGCCTCAGCCTGCTTTGGGGTCCTGTCTGCCCTGAAGCCCTGGGGGACTGAGAGGGTGTGGCAGGGAGGACAGGGCCCAAGGCTCTCCATGGCCATCCACTCCCCATGGTGCTGCATTCCTTTGCTCCCTCAGAGTCCTCTGTCCCATCCTGCAGTTCTCCTTCCCGGCTTTCAGGGGGTGACCGGGTGCTCACGAAAGGACCCTCTTCCCCAGAGCACAGCTTCCTGTCCTACTGTGTCTGAACAGGTCAGAGTGTGGGGAGAGGGGAGGCAGCCTGCATGGTGTGACCACCCAGGCCAATGGCTCTGCAGACCCCCAGGAGCACTGCAATCCTGCACCAGCTGCTCCCTGGACATGGCCACGAAATGTCTTGGGGGCACCTGAAATCCTCTGTCCTGAGGGGAACACATGTGTCTCCTCACTACCTGTGCCCTGGTCACCTCAGTTTACGGTGTCCCATCCCCACCACGGGGAACCCCAGCCTCAAGTTTATACATGGGTGGCTGTCCATGGTCCTGCCTTGCACTCCCCTTTCTGTCTGATTTGCAGCTCCGCCCATTGTTGAAGCCTCTGTACTGTGTGGCCTTCTCTGTGCCTGTGGGCAGGGGTGACAAGGAGCAGAGCCACCTCCCACCCTGCCATTTCATAGCCTAGGGTCCTAGAGGACCCCCTGACTTCCCAGGTAGAGGGACCGTGGGCCAAGAGGCTGGGAATCTGCATGGAGTTGAGGCAGGTGGATGGAGAAGGCAGGAAGGATGTCTGAGGAAGGAGGAAAGTGTCTGGGAAAAGTTAAACAAGGAAAACTGAGCTGGGGAAACAGGCCAGGAGGGCAGTGGAGGCCTGGGCATCAGTGAAGAGTCGCCTGATCTTCAGGGCGGGGCCAAGAGCAGCTCCCGTCACAGCATCCTGTAGGCCAGGCCTCAGTCTTTGCTGGGGCCGGGCTCCTCAGACACACGTGGGGCGTGGGCTCATTTGGCGGGGTGGAGAAAGGGCTGTCCCTGTTCGTATCTTGTGAGGTTCTGTCGTCACATCATCCTATGTGGGTGTCCCCTTTTATCTGCTCATGGGACCTCTGTGTTCAGGGATGGGG